TTCAGAGTTCTGGGACCATCCCCTGAACCTGCTTGGTCGGGTATTCTGTGTTGTTGTTGGCGGAGCTCTTTACAGCACTTCCACCCGATCCACCATGTTGTTTGTTCTCCCATTCTTCAAGTTTTGTAACCATTCTTACTCTCCTTTTCCAAATAATCACATCTTAATTGACATAAACTTGGTGCCCTACAACTGATATCACATACTTTGATTCACTCGACGTCGTGTTCCACAATGCTGCTGTGCCCGTCTTTTCTTTCTAACTGATAGCCTTGGTGTAGAGCCACATTGTCCCTGGTTTTCCAGTGATATACCCTGTCTGCTTCCAATTTTATGCCACCAAAAAGAATGCCTTTATTGATCTGTATGAGAGTTTCTTTGAGCTGTCTCCCTAGGAGAGGGGTTGATGGACCTTGTTGTTGCTGTTGCTAAGTGCCGCCGAGTCAGTTTGATAAGGTGTGCATCTATTACATTTGACTGAATACTGCCAGGTAACTCTTCATGTACAGTCTCACTGCAATGTGAGAGCTGCTGTCTTCACACATACCTTCAACCCTTGCTGCTATTCAGCTTTCTAATTTGTCTCACCTTTATAGCTATAAGGTGATAGCTTCGAGTTCTTTTACTTTGCATTTCTCCGTTTACTAGTAAATTCATGGATTAATTCAGTGTTGCTAGCTCTTCTGTGCCTCTTCATATCCTCTACCCTTTCATTTTTGTCATGTGTGTGGTTCTTGTCTTCCTGATTTGTAGATCCTTGTTTGTTATAGAAATTAATCATTTGTCAGTTTTAGACATTGCAAAGGTCTTCTCTGATCATATTAGCTGTATTTTAACTTTGTCCATCATTGATCAAACATTGTTAATTTTTATAGTACAAATATACTAAATTTTTTACCTTTTTTGTACTGTTTCAAATTGTTTAAAAAGCCTTTCTCCACCCCTAGGTTTCAGAGTATTCTATATTTTCTTCTATTTTACAGTTTTATTTTTCATATTCAGACTGTCATCTGGAACCCACCTTTGTATGTGAGAGCGTGTAGAATCTAGTTTTATTTTTATTCACATAATGAGTTAATTTTCTCTATGTTGTTGTTGTGTGCTATCAAGTCAGTTCCGACTCATAGAAATCCTGTATACTGCTTCCAAGGAGTAGCTGATGTCCAATGGCTCTTGCCTGAAAGCAAAGAATATCAGAAAGATGTTTACCTCTGCTTTATTGACTACACAAAGGCTTT